TGTAGCCTCTCTTTTTTTAGTTATCATCCAATTAGGTTTAGCTGAGGAATGGAAAGTTTTATCTACCATGCAATTTCAGCTACTTGTGACATGCATTTCAAAAAGTCAAGCTGTCCTTCCTTTCAATGCTTAAGACTTTCTTCAAGACTGTATTTGAATACTATGGAATTTTCCATATTTTGATCAATGCATTCATGTATGTTTTCATAGCAGGATGTTGGTAGTGATTGCAGAGCCTACATTTCTTGGCTTCCTCAAATGTTAATAACTTACGTTTAGTGTGAAAAAGGAAAAGAAAAGTTGATAGATACATTAAAAATAGTGTACGGGATGTTAAATTCATTAGCAGATTTTAAAACATTAATACTTGTGAACTGTATTATCTAATGATGATGTCTCTTGCAGTAAGTACATTTTTGCCTTTGTGATATATGCCAGGCAGAGCTTTGCTGAAAGCTGTCAGGCAGATTAAAAAAATAGAGCTTCCTCTTCAAATCTCAAGAAAGTACGGAAAGAAATTCACTCAAGACATTATATTATCAAAAGTTAGTTTTCAGCATTTTAGATTAATTTATGAGATTTGTTGGTTTGTTGTGCCTGCTCTCAAAGATATCCTTGTATTAAGCCCATGGGACTGTGTGGTTTCTAGCTCTGTCTTTTAAAATGTTGTGGAGTTTCCTTTTTGGATGTAATTTGGAAATAAATAAATAAAAAGATACAAGCAAAATGAAGTAAAAAAAAGCCTAGTCATACGAAAATAGTCTTGAAAAGAGACAACATGGGGTCATTTTTCTCCTGTTGTTGATTACACTGTATACAATTTGGAAGTAATAATAAACCTCGCCAATCTTTGGAATGTGTTGCCATTTACTTGAAATTTACTTCTCTTATAAAGCCTGTTGGTTGTACAGATGCATTGTTAAACAGTATTGTCCCGCCACATGCCAACAAATGCAAAGCATTCATTGCCTTAAAGAAAGTTAGCTCTGTGATGAGGGTGTTATTTAGAAATTAGAGATCCTTCTTGCGGCTATTTTGTTCAGACGGATGCACCTTTATTTCATTCAATTCCCTTTCACAGAGAACAAATGTTACTTTAAAGCACATACAATATCTTTTTCTTGAATTTTGGGAAAGACTCAGGCGGGATTTTTCAAACCCACCACACATAACAAGACTTCACCATTTTTCCGTCTTCACCCTTGAAACATTGTTGTAACACTTCAAAGTGTCAAATCAATCAAGGCTCTAGGCACACATTTAAAAGGGTACTGCATGTTTTTGCTTTGCAGATTTTAAGAACATTTCTTCAAATTCTGAGAAATAAGTGAATCAAGGCCTACAGAATGAGAAGTGTGTAAAACACATCCATCTTACAGCTTTCAGAAGGCTGCATATGTTCTAGGAATATCCAGAAGTTTCATAACTAATGATGATACATTTGCAAAATGACATTAAAGTTTCTATTTCAGCGCTGAAAGGATATGATGGTTCGATATCAAATCTGGGGAAAGAGCAAACTCAGTTCTGCCTGCCACAGGATTTTTCTACCTGCCATTAAAGGACATTATTTTTGCAATGGCGAGAGACAGAATACTGCCTTAGCTGAACTGTGCACATCATAAAGTTTCACTGTTCCTGTTACGCCATTGCACAAGTGAGGGAATTGTTACATTTTAGAAAGGAACTACTTTTAAAGTAATTTGTGGTCAGGCAGTTGGACTAGGCGATCGTTGTAGGTCCCTTCCAAAAGAATCTAATCTATTCTATTCTATTCTATTCTATTCTATACTATGTACTTTTCCACAGTGAACCAGGGACCCATGATATGGGACAAAATTCAGGCACTGTCCTAGAGCAGCCAGCTGTCTGCAGGGACATCTGCATCAGAAGTAGGTGAGAAGGAGGAATGAGAAATGACCCCTTTCCATGGGCCCTCCAATGGCAGCTCCTTGTCTGCTCTGGATCCTTGGTAAAGGTAGGAAGAGTTTGAAGGATTTCCATTCGAAAGGCGAAACAAGCCAGGAACAGGATGTGCTAGGAGCAATGCATGATCTGATGTGGGGACCCCAGTGACCACAGGGAGCTATCAGGATCAAGGCACACTGCCTTGCAATACGTTATGAAAGATCTGTTATAATGTCTTTTAAGTCTTTTACCAGCACTGCCTGGGTACAACATGATAATTTGGTACCAGAATCAGTCACTAAACCTTTCTCGTGTCCAAGAAAAAACAGTAGCTGGACCCCACATAAAGATCATCATAGCCATCTTACTTCCAAAATATGCTTAAATGAAAGAAAGGTGTTGGTGGAGGTCTACTTTTTACCAATTTGCTTTGTAGTGAGAAAATGTGTCAGGGGAACAGGAGAGGATACAATGCTGGTCTGCAGTAAAGCCAATGTTTATGAAGAAGGCACTGTAAGCACTAAGTTAAATGTTATTTGGGATAGGTGAGGAAAACATTCTGTACTTCACTCATCAAAGGCATGTCCCTTTGGAGAGAAAAAGAATATAAATTCCTTGAAGCAAACAGGAGCAGATTAGTGTCTCTGTAGCACAGCACAGGACATCTTGGGTTTCCTGCTCCAAGGGTTGTTTGCACCATCATCCATCTATTCATTTTTATTACCTCTCCAGATCTTATCTCTCCTAAGTACCAGTCATTCATTTTATACTAAACTGTAATGGATTAAAATTCTGGCATATTTCTTAGAACAGAATTGGCTCTTAATGTTTGTGGGAAGTAATCTGGGAACTTAGAACGTGTTTTTGTCCAAAAAAAATGCTCCAAATGTGCTTGTGGCAAATGGGAACATGGATCTGACCCTCCTTTAACCAAGAAAAGCGTTCAGTGAAGGTTTTCCATGTCACTGGCAAAAGCTGTCTTCAACCGTGATTGTGACTTGTGGCTGGGGAAGGTCACGGACATCACATGCGAGGACTATGTAATTAGATCTGTACGTGGGTACTGCCCGTCCGTGCAGACACCTAACCGCATTGCCAGAGGCCTCCGACTCTGCCCCCTGCACAGGAGCATCACGGATGTGCGTGCGGAACAGCGTGTATGTGTGCCGTGTCTTATTATTTTCATCTGAATCGCATCTCCCTAGTTTGCAAATGTCTTTTGTGGCTTTGTCAAACATGTTACCAAAGCCAAAACAACATCCACTCGTCCGAGTTGTTACTCCCTGAAGAAAGTTTGGTTTGGCAAGATCAGCTCATGATGAATCCATGCTGGTATTTTATTCTCTACTGATTACAAAATGACTGGTAAACAATTTGCTCCATTTTCTTCCTGGATATCTAAATTAGGCTTATTGACCTTTAGTTCCCCAGGTCCTCATGGGTGAGCTGTATGAGGGCTGATTTTTACCCCATTACACTACTCCTTTCCTCTTGTGAGTGACTGAGAAATCAGTTCTTGTGGTATGGGTTACGATGGAAGGGAATAGATTTCTAGACTCATTACTCATAGTACATGGACTTTTTAGGAGTGGGGGTAACAGGTCTACCCATTTCCTTAATGGTAACAACACTGAATTAGCTATTGCATTATCATCATTCTTACTTGGACCTGTGCTAATATTTAAGAGTGCGGTAAGTCATGTTCCAGCGCTCACATCTGTGTCCTGGCATTGCTTAATTTACCAGCAGAGATGTACCCAAATGAAAGGGCAGTATATAATGGAGGAAAAAAGTGGTGGAGAAGAATGAGAAAAAAATGAACCCAAACAATAAGCACTTTGAATTGTGAAACCAGGCTTTTAACTTAATGCTCATCTTTCATATGAGAAGAAATGCCACCAAAATGAATGAGTCAGAAATGTGTGTTGAAATTGCCACTGAAATGAATGAGTCAGAAGTGTGTGCTAAAATTATTCTGTGTCAAAGACTCTGGCATTTGGAATCTTGCAGCTTTCTTACTAAAAGAGGAGTGGAATGTGAAACCATTGTAAGGTGGGACTAAAATAATATTTAGTGCCACTGTTGACTGCACAGAAGAGCACTTGCTTCCCAACGGTCACAGACGTGAGTATTGCATGTTTTTTATGCTAATGGTCATTCTCTCTGAAAGAGGGTCTAAAGGAAAGTTGTTTGCCTGACTTCTGTTTTTGCCTAGGAAATCTTCAGTTTCTCACATGAACTGTTTCTGCTTATGCTGCTAAAGAATCAGTCTCCCTTCAAGACCTAATGCTGATAAAGTCACAAAGTTGGTAGAAGTTAAACGAACTGTATTTACGGTAATAAGAAAGAAGGAAAATTACAATGAATTGGTCAGTGAAGAATAAGTAATTTAATGATTGATACAGCAAAAGCAGATGTTAAAAAAATAATTTTGGAAGACACCCTTACTTGTTATTAAAAGCAAAGTTTCCAAATGCAGGGACATTTCTCCTTGGCTATCTATTTTTGTGAATTAAGCCCTTTTCTCAGACAGTTCTTTTCCATTAGAGGGCAGGTTTTGTTATGTGTATTTATGCTAAGTGCAATCTTATACTATAAGCAGGATCATTAATTTAAATGAAATACCTTTTTTTTTTTTTGCGTTTAAATACCACTGAGCATTTTACAGTAGAATGTATGTCAGCAAAAGATACAGACTCTAAACCAGAATAGTTCTAGTGGAAACTGCGCTGCTCTCCTAATTCCTTTAGCGAACTACATATTTCAGGCAATCCTGTTTATCTTCTGGTCTTGTTAACAGTACAATAGTTCAAAAGGTTGGTCAAGTTAAGACTAGTTGCATGACCAAGAACTATCCACCTATACTAAGAACATATAAAACATTTGGAAACCACAGAAATTTAAACAATGCTCCTTAAATAACATTTTGGGAAAAGAAAGATGTGAAAAGCTAACCATTAAATACATCTGGTACCCAAATGCCAAATTTCAGTTAAGATCTCCACTATGTTCTAGATCATTATATGAATAGAATATATACATCCTCCTACAGCTTTTTCTCGTGTGAGTCACTGGACTGAAGTTGGTCCTTCTGCATATGTGGGAGAGACAAGGTGGAATCTGTTTTTGTAAAAGAAGTCACTAAGGAGATGGATGTCCAGGAAGGGAAAAGTTGAGCCTGTTATTTTATCTCAGTTTTGCACTGGCAGGAAGCAGGGCAGTGAACTTGATGAAGCTATGGGTACATCCAGGAGACTTTGCCAAGGCAGTTGGAATAAACACCTTCAAACTTTCAAAGCTTGGCTGAAAATTAATTGAAACACAAAATTAATCGTAAATGGGAAATGAGAACCTGCAGCATTTCCTTTCAGAAAATTTTCCTTTTTGGAAATTTTTCCTTTTCATCAATATTTCTTTTCTCTGGAATTTTTTTCCTCTTTGTTGCCATTTACTCCACAGTAGCATCCAAAACCTTTGACCATACATACAAAATTCTTTGCTCTTTCAAGGAGGCTTATCAACTTTTCTGAACTTGCAAGGTGTTTTGTAATTTTCTTCCTTTATACTGCAGCTTATGATGAGAATTAAGTTAATTACGTAACAGAAGTTAAACTTGAAGTCTTGCATTATGAGACTCAGCCCATATATTTTTATTTTCTGTTAGAATTCTTAAAACTCAGATTTACTGCTTGCTCTTATCAAGTGTGTTGTTACTCCTACCTGATCAGCCACTGTTGTTCAAAGGAGGAAGAAGAAAAAAGATAAAGAAGTCCCCTCCTTCCCTGGCATTTCCTAGATTCAGGGATGAGAATTGCCTCTCTTGGGTATGGAAAAGCATATATACTGCAGCTGGAAATCTGGAGCTGAGATTTCTGCTCTACCATTGCCGTAAATGTGTCTGACCTCACAGCAGTCAATGCATCTTCTTAAACTAGGAAGTATTCATGAGAGTTTCCATATGGAGACCCAGACATTGTCACCTTTAATGAAGGTATCTAGGCCATATGAATATCTTGATCCATGAAGTGGAGGGTATCTGCGTCCCAATGTACATCAACTACTGTCTAACCTTTGCCCACCCTAAGTGGAGGGTATCTGCGTCCCAATGTACACCAACTACTGTCTAACATTTGCCCACCCTTATCATAGACTCCTTCTTCTTTTGTTTCACTCCACATCTAGGTAGAGCACCCAGCATGCTGAAGTGTCGTTCTGTAATAGTGCTTTTGGTCTGGTATTTGAACACATAAATTCAAAAACTTTCCATTTGCTCAAATTAATTGGGATTTTTTTAAAGCATCCACTTTACCCAAGCCACCTTTAAAATGCTTAAAACTTACTGCATAATCCATTCTCACAAGCATTAGGGCAATCACCACAGGGTTCTCCTTTTTTGTAGGGTGTCGCAATTGAACTTCGTAGATTCCCCCTGAAACATCAACATTACCAACATGAGCTATAAAGTCACTATAACATATCTGAGAATAAACCTTAACTATATGGATGCATACATATATTAATTTACACTTAATCTTTGATATATGTCAAACAATTTTTATATATGTGTTGGGTTTATCTGGAAATGTTTCGGTAGTGGAGCAGGGGGGGAATTTGCAGGGGCGGCTTCTGTGAGAAGATACCAGAAGCTGCCCAAATTTCAGACAGAGCCAGTGCCAGCCAGCTCCAAGTCGGACCCACTGCTGCCCAAAGCTGAGCCAATCAGCGACAGTGGTAGTGCCCCTGTGATAACATATCGAAGAAAGGGTAAAAACTGCTGTGCAACAGCAACCAGAAGAGAGGAGTAGAATATGTAAGAGAAACAACCATGCAGACACCAAGGTCAGCGAGGAAGGAGGGGAAGGAGGTGCTCTGGGCACTGAAGTAGAGATTCCCCTGCAGCCTGCGGTGAAGACTATAGGGAAGCAGGTTGTCCTTCTGCAACGCGGGGAGGTCCGCAGTGAAGCAGATATCCACCTACAGCCCATGGAGAACCCAGTGCCGGAGCAGGTGAATACGCCTGAAGGAGGCTATGACCCCATGGAGAGAGGAGCCCATGCTGGAGCAGGTTTGCTGACCCCGTGGGGGACCCACGCTAGAACAGTCTGTTCCTGAAGGACTGCACCCTGTGGAAGGGAGACATGCTGGAGCAGGTAATGAAGAACTGCAGCCTGTGGGAAGGACCTATGTTGGAGAAGTTTGTTAAGAACTGTTTCCCATGGGTGGGACCCCACGCTGGAGCGGGAGAAGAGCGTGAGGAGGAAGGAGCGACAGAGACAACGTGCTATGAATTGACCGCAACCCCCATTCCCCGTCCCTCTGCGCTGCTTGGGGGGAGGAGGTAGAGAAATTGGGAGTGAAGTTAAGCTAGGGAAGAAGGGAGGGGTGGGCAGAAGGTGTTTGTAGATTTGTTTTTCTTTCTCATTATCCTACTCTGCTTGATTGGCAATAAATTAAGTTAACTTCCCTAAGTTGAGCCTGTTTTGCCTGTGACAGTAGCTGGTGGGTGATCTCCCTGTCCTTATCTTGACCCATGAGCTTTTTGTCATGTTTTTTCTCCCCCTGTCCTGTTGAGGAAGGGGAGTGATAGAGTGGCTTGGTGGGCTATTGGCGGTCAGCCGAGGTCAACCCACTGCAATATATTACAATGTGAATGTGAAAAATAATTTTAGGCAGTTTATGAAATCATCACTCTGCCTTAAAATTCCTACTAAATTTTTTGTATTAATTATAGTCTTCACTGTACTGTACATATTGATATGCCTTTCTGAACCAAGATTTTAAATAGAATGTGGAAAATATTTATTTGTGATTTACTATTATGAAAATTAGGATCTTTAGGCAAATGAAATTTAATCTGAAAAGCAGTGTCACTTTTACGTGTTTTATGCTTTTGCTTGTTTGAAAATTCTTTTGGTGAGTATTTTTCTGTCTTTTCACATTCCTAATACACTCTTCAATGCTGTTCCTCAGCTATGGGTAATGTGCCTTATTACAAATTTCACCACCTCCTGAGTAATTTTGATAATGTAATAAGAAGTTCCAGAATCAGAATCAATACGTACATGGGGCAGTACTGGCAGACATAAAAGTATTTGTATTTACTGGTGGGACAGAAAGCGACAGCACATCCAATTTGATAAGAATTGTACCAAACCATCTGTAGGTATAAGAAAAAAATCATGGGAGAATGAAAAATATACATTTGAAAATCATTTAAGCACAATTGCATTACAGAAACATTTGCAACCAAGTTAAGTCACTTTATTTACCCTTCACAATAAAATATAAGTCCCTTGCTGGAAAAAAATTTTTTTCCCCTGTTTTCACCCCTGAACGACAGAACATTTAGGATATAATGATAATGATTTATCACACATATATATAAAACATTTGAGTTAAACTGTCTCAATTATATGTTTTCATTCAGTTAAAACTGTTGAAGAAGATGTAGGAATCATGATGTAAAATTTTGTATCCTGTGTTTCATGCAGGTGAACAGAGGAGATTAGCATAAGCCATTGTCCAACTGGAAACTCTCTGAGTCAATGGAACTCTGTAGACTGTAACAAACCTATTTATATTTCCTTCCTGATACTTAATAGGGATAACCCTATTCTTCCAGTGTCTCAGCAATTTTCAGATGTCAAACAAACAAATAAGTTTCTTCCCTTTGTTTCTTCCTGAGGTTTTGAAATACCAGTATCTTTACTCTGTAAAGACACTTAGCCTATTATTTTCATTTTAATTCTGTTACTTTGAAAGTTTTCATCTTATTTTGTCAGAATAACTCTCATGTCTCCATTGTACTTATTCCCCTTAGAGATAATGAGAGGGTAAAAGTTGCTTAGCTAACATATAGATATTTATTTGTTCAGCCTGAAATATAAAAAAGTTGCATCTACCTGAGTGTAATGGCCAATCACAGCACCTTGTGTTTTTGCTCCAGTTCCATATTCGAAATCTTTCTCCTCATTGTACCAGGCCTGAATAACATCTGACCATGGGAAAGGGGCGGATGACATGAAGAGATTTTCACCACATTGCACAGCTGAAAAGAGAAAGATACCGAGAAATGCATAAAAGATACATGTGTGAGAAAAAGGCAGCAAAAGGTGGTGTGATTTCCATGGAAGTTCTCATCCCAGATGGGACAGCAGGGTGGTTTTTGTTTTTTTTTTTCCAGTTCAGTGACATCACCCTTTGTCAATACTGAAGTTGTCACTTGACCAGTTTGCAACATGGCCAACCTGTTTGGCTGGTAGTTTGGTTGTTGACAGACCTTCTGCATGTCTGTAGATACACCTGCACATGTGCACCACAGATTCACGACTGTAATTTTGCTATTTGAAAGTTAGCAACCTAGTCATTATTCAGGTCACAGGTCAGTAATCTTGGGAAAATCCCAAAAATTCAAAGTTTACTTCTGGTACACAAAAAGGTGTCTACACTATCTTCACCTACTGTTTTTATCCAGGTCCAACCCTACTGTGTATGCATTCGTTCTCATCTGGAATTCACCTTAGCAAAAATCAGCGGATTTGGTTTTTAGGCAAAAAGTGTGGGGTCTGAAGGACAGTCCACATCTTACAGACAGATGTCAGTCAACACCATGTTGGGCACTGATCGTAGCTACTGTTAATGTAATATAGCTGTAACTTCAATATCCAACGACTGAAGTGTTTATATGAGCCTCCAAGACAGTTTTAGGTTGCAAGTTGCCAGGGGATTTTAAAACTATGAGTCTTGTCTTAGAAATTGTACTTAGCACCACCAGCCAGCTTTGGACCTTCACGCTTTGCCCCTTCCTTCCCAGACAGTTTCATCTAGCACATGCAAGCTGGTTTCTGCAGTAATCTGGGTCTAGATTCTCTTCTTTCTGATGATATTTCGAGAGAATATGGTTTCTCACTATGATTTTTTTCACCTGCTGAAGAAAATGGGATACACCTGTGTAAAACTGATACAATTGGGATGAGACTGGGATTGAACTTTTCTCACTTACTGGACAGATTTATATCCAGAATTTTGCCTTTATGGTATCTCAAAAAAAAAAAAAAAAAAAAAGCCAAACAAAAACCAAACTGGTCACATCAATAACATGTATGACATTATTCAGTTAGCACTCATGCTTCACTTACTCGTTGTCCTCATGTCAGCAGGACTGTGACTTAAAGTACATTGATTGGCCCATTTTTGGGCATTCTTTGCAGCCAGAAGACACCATTCCTTAATGAAAGAAGAAAATATTAGTCATTCAGACACGTACCAATTAATAACCCCTCATGAAGGAACAGCATTTGGAAATTACACTTCAAATCAGAAAAAATCAGATACAAAATCCTTTTCTTCCCCTTTTTTGGGAGCTAGCGAGAGTAGGAACAAAGTTACTATGCACCCAGGAGAAGAATAGAAACTGTGAAGACTGATAAAGAATGCATCAGAAAGAATGAACAATGCCATGGCTCCTCCTTTTCCTTTTCTTTTTCCTCAAAAAAAAGAGACATTATTGTTCGTGCACCACAAAATTTTCCAGACTTATTTTTCCACCTGCCCAGCTTCATGTTTCTTTTGGTGCTGGCCATGCTCAATCCTTAAGAAAGGTCTTGAGGGTGAATTTGTAGCTAAATAAAATAATGTGACCTTGCATACAGTCCTGTATCTCTCACAGGGTCCATTACTCATTGCAAATAGGTTTACAGCACACAACTTACCATCTTCATCATGTTACTGGCAGTTGGTTTTACTCCTCTCCTGAGGGTGTTATGTTTGTCAACAATCAGCTCCTGCTGACCTGTTTTGCTAGTTAACACAGCATCAAAACCTTCAGGTTCCTAAATGGAAAGAACATGTTATATTTCTTTTTTATTTGAACGTAACTAAATCATGAATCCTGTCTAGGAAATATTAAAATACCAAAATACTAATACCAACCAAGGAGATGATCCTTGTGATGGAAAACATACTGCGATATGCTTTGTCTCCTAAGTATCTCTAGGAGTGCTTCCATGTGGAGTAACACTTTAAGTTGTTCCATAGAGTAGATCTTAGCAGTAATAACACTGGTTCCTGTGTCATATCTGCCAACCCTTTGTGGATGGCTGAGATATCCTGGAACATCTCATGTGCCTGTAGAATCTTAAATTTAGGCAACAGAATCAGACTTAATTTACTATTAATATAATTTCCTTCATGAGGTTTTGAGGAAACAGGCTCTAAAAATCAGCTGAAGACATGAATGTACTTATAATGTGTTCCCCTTCTTCAGTATTTTAAACATGCCTATCAATGTTTTTTTATGGAAGGAACCTGTTGTTTAATCACAGGATCATCATAGACCTCTTCTGGTACTTCATCAGGACATACCACTGAACAAAAAGTGTGCCTATGCTTTTCATGACAGAGATTTTCTTTCACTCCTGCCATAACTGATAGCATTTCTCAAACTTTTGATGTGTTTTCTGATTAAAAAATAGCCATGTGAAGAACTCAGCCTCCTCTTTACAACCATTCTCACTAGTCTTCTAGGCTACAGCATGGAGAGCAGAAATTGAAGAATTAGGGGGAAATGTAGTCAAGTCTTCAGTCACATTAGTGTTTCTAAAGCAGAAGTAGCAAACTTCAAACTTCAGACTGAGTATGATTTGGGAGGAACCACTCTAAGCGTGCATTGAGTATATTAGTTCGTTTAGCTGTTTGAGGGAAATCAGTGATACACGTTGAGATGATGGGACCGTGAGCAAAGGGAGAGGCTCAGGACCTGTGGCACAAGGAAGGGAGAGAGTTAGGTAACTGCTGCTTGTAAAAGTGTGGGGAATTAACAGGAAGAGGGCTGGATCTTTGGGAGATCCAGATTACTGGATCTGTGTATGGGAGCTTCTGGAAAATATAGTTATCTCTGACCCAATTCATAAGTAACAGTGAGCCTATAGAGATGGTTTAGTGTGCAAGTGTGGAACCAGTCTACTGCTTTGAAATTAAACAGACTTCAAGGATAAATGCTTTCCAGATCCTAGATATCTAATCAGGCTCTTTCTGCATATGATCAGTGTGCATAGGAAAAGCCATATTCAGTCAGACCACGAGTGCCTCGGATCCCATCCAGATTTACAAAGTGTGGATCCTACCTGTCCAGTGGACGGAGGCAGCACAGCTGCGAGACACAAGAACACCACTGGCAGAATCATCTCTGAAAAGGGGAGAATGAGAATTTAATTTATTTTTTTACAGAGCTTTCATTTCTCTGAATACATAATTCACCTTTCTTCTGTGTATTTCCTGGCTTTTTCTCAAGTAGCGAGGTAAAGTTTTCTTTCTCTCGTCCTTCTCTCCTCCTCCCATTTTTAGAAGTAAAAAAATAAAATTAATTCCCCCTCTGCATTTCCAAATTTCTATGAATCAACTGCTTTGTATGTCTCTTACTTCCAGCTGTAATCCTGGCAGAACACCTTCACCTGAATTCACAGTACAGGAGGACATCTGTGCTTCCCTTCCTGTAGGAAGCCTTCTGCTCATTGTCCCACTGTGAAACGGCTGAGGTGGGATGCTGCTTTTAGCTTGTTTCTGCGTCTGTGCTAGTCTGAAATTTTCCCTACTCCCTATCGCCTGCTTTGAATGGACTGCATTGGTTAAAAGGGGTGTTAGACACTCAGCCCATGTGCAAACCTCTATGATTAGGTGTCCGAGTCTAGATTCAAATACCTTACTTAATGCACTGCAAAACCTTGCACGCGAGCTGGGGCACAACTGCCTGGACCAGAAAAGGACCAGCACCGGCTTCCTGGGGAAGACTTGTTTCAGAAAGCTTTTTTGTTTTTATTTCTTTAAAGACACCTCTTGATCGTATTACAAGTAGTGTGGAACAGCAACAGAAATGATAGCCTTCTCTAGTTGAAGAAGCAACCACCAGACTCTAGACTCCAAGACTCTACCTGTTTAGGAGGCTCAAAGCACCATACCGTCCCACTACAGTGATCAAGGAGGTAATAGGTCACCTCAAAGTTCTGGTCTCTGATTGCAATCAGTCGTAGGAGTTACATTCAGCTTGTTTCTGCTTAGGTACCTTGGGCAGGCAAGCAGGTGACTAGAGAGGAATTTACTTGTTTTGGCATTTTTCCCAGCCTCCCACTCCGAGAGAATTTATGGGCACTTTGCCACAGAGGTATATTATTAGTTCAACTTCTTACTTGGTTTTGAAGGACTGCTGGTTTTAGTTTTAATTTATTCTTGGGGAAAGGTCAATAGGTTTTGCTGATCTTTCCATACTCAGCAAAGCCCCTTTTCCTTGAGGCAACCCGTTTATATATAACACAAGGTGCTCCTGCTCATGGAGAACATGTGGTTAAGAAAAACTACCCTTTTCCAAACGTTACAGCAAGGCTCATTTTCCCCACCAGCTTGCTTACATTGCACTGGAGGCAACCCACAGTCGGCAGGGGAGCTACTCCAGCTCTGCTAACGAGCAAAACCCATTGAAATGGACTGGGACTATGGACAGCTGTAGCTCAGAGGCCAAAAACTGGACAGATTGGTCACATCTGTACAATTAAACTCTCACAGCCTCCAAAATAGAGTGGTTTATTCCAAGCACTTATAGTTTAGGAAAAATCTAGTTGATCCGGGAGAAAAACATACTATTCTGATAATTAACAGTGTAAGTCATTGATTTCTTGTTCTTGGTATTGCCTTATGTCATTTATGTTTAATTTTGAGATCACCTACGCCTCCCTGAAGCACTTTAGAATCACAGAAGTTTTTTCTTACTAACTTCTCTGCCACTTATTCCTCAGAGCCATTACAAAACTTTGCAGTGTATATGACCTAGATGTTTAACAGTGAAAGATTATACCCCCAATAACATGAAAAATTATTCTTTTCACTTCATTTCTAACTAGAAAGTAAATAGAAGCGGGGGTTATTTTTAGCTGTACTCAAGTTACAAGCAAAAATCCGTCTTTTGAGTGCAAAATGTGATGATACGCAAATAGAAAACAACCCCTTTTGCACCTAAAATATGTAAAAACAAATTCTCTGTTTCAATGGAAAAATAACTCTTTGTTGAAATTGTGAAGCTTTCTATTTTGCAAACCAAACTGAAGAAGCTAACTTAAAGACATGGACAAAATATTCATTCACTGTAATATTTTCTATGAATTAACTTACAATTAAATATAATTGGTAATTTAATACACGATATGAGTTTCAAAATGCCATTGGAATGCTTTTTAAGACCCAGTGGGTTTCCTTTTCCAAGATATTAACATACTTTTGGCAATCCCGCTGATTTCAACCAAATGCTTATAGTTTATGAGATGTAAATTTAATTGCTCTGCATTAATTTCTAGGCACTGGTCCTAAAATCAGTCTCTCTGTCCCCCTCCCCTGTTCCCCCTCAATCAAACACAAATCAGGACATGTGCCAAGTCTTACTGACTTTCCTGCAACTCCATCTGTGTATAGGGATCTGCCACTGAAAGATGGTGCTTTAGCATCCCTAGTATGTATGAGATTAGCAAACTTGTGTGGATATGTTTTTCCCATCCCTCCTCCTAAAAAAAAAAAAAAAAAGTGTATCCTAAATTATTCATGCAATTGAATAATTATTACAAAAGAACATTCCCATTATTTTTTATTATCCTTGAAAAACACCTGAAATGGAATAATACTAGCTGTGATTTCACTTGTACAGCATTGTTGCACAAAGTCCTACTGAGCAGCCACCTTGCACAAGAGTGGTAAGTTGCACAAAGAGGTAATTTCCTCCCTCTGAAAATAAGTGGTGATAGCTACATATAGCAATGGAATATACTGAACGGAATATATATCCAATTCAATATGTTCGGTCTGTCTCTGTCTCTTTCTCTATGTACATACAATCTGCCAAGATGCTGCTTTCTTGTATACAGGCAGCTTTTCCTCTGTTTTCGATTGTTCATCAATTTTCTCTCCCTTTTTTTCAGCTCATGTTACACTATTGCCGATGTAATCCTTATTTTTCACTGCATAAAATCCTCTTTCTGTGGCTGTCCTAAATTGTCAGAAGTCTTCTGACAATAGGTTGCATTTAGTACGTGAAAAAATTGCAATACTTTAAACAAACAAATCAATCCAAATCCTACCTTTTGTTTCGGAAGTTTCTTCCGTCCTTCTACAGCTGATTGTGGAAGTGACCAGAGTTCTTCACCCGAGGGTAATTTATAGCTCTTCTGTTTCCTGATAGGACAAGGTGACTCAGGTTCTCAGGTATTATAAAATTCAAATAGTGACCAGACAGAACAGCGCATTTGTCAAGTGCACATTCTTCCAAGAAGGAGCTTGTTTGCTTGTGTTCCATTTTTATTTCCTCTTACGTCTTGTATTGGAAGAGATGAAATACTCTGAAATGAGTTTTGTATGTATTGCTCCTTATATGTGAAATTTGCAGTCAATGTCAACGCCAAGTACAAAGGCTCTCTGCTAATGATTGACGCATCCAGTTGTAGTGAGACTCGATCTTAATCTCTAGCAATGCAAATAAACTCAGCTGGCTACTGAGGTGTCTCCAGACTGACATTGTGGTAACCAAGATGGAATCTTGCCTATTGATTTTTCCATGGGGGTAAAAAAAGTCTTGGGCCAAGTTCCTGTTCATGCTATGGCTTCTTTACATCAATCCTATAGTATAAAAGTCAAAGGAGGAGACAAGGGTATTTCTGTAATTGATACTTTTACCCAGTATTGGATAAAGATTAAAAGACTATTGTGTGCATTAGCATTAAAACATATACAGTAGTTTGTCTGGACATTTCCGGGTACATGGAGTAAAATGAGAATGGGTGGAAATACTGCCAGATCAGAAGGATATCTGTGTGCACAAATGTGGACTGTTTCTCTCCACGTTTAGTTTCAAGTAATTGCTGACCAGAGCAGCTGTCATTGTCTGCTTTTATATAAAATGTTATTTTTCTATTTAAATTCAGGTCTTCCTTCTTTGTAGTCACTCAACTCCTACCCTACTCCCTTGTGAAGTGTGCCTTCAAAACAATTTTTTGCTTTTCATTACCTGGGAAACCAGCATATTGGCTTTACCAGACAAAATGGCAGTGGTGTGATTTGTTGTTTTGTAATTATATGGAAAGGAACACACTGTCAGCAAGTTTGTGGTTGACACCAAATTGCAGGGAGCAGTCAATATGCTGGATAATAAGGTTGCCGATCAGAGGAATCTCAAAAAACTGGAGAAGTGATTTCACAGAAATGATCTGAAAGTAAATAACTGAGAGAGACCAATTGCCTAGGGAGCAGCTCTAACAAAAAGCACTTAAGGGTTGTTGGTGGATGACAAGTTGCATATGAGAAAACAGCGCGCCCTTGCAACAGTGAGGGCTAACCAGGTACTGCACTGCATTAGCCACTACGTAGTGCAGAACAGTGATTATACCGACTTTTTCAGCACTTCTGAAACTGTGTCTGGACTACTGTGTCCAGTTTTGCAGTCCCCAGTACAAGAAAGACATTAACAAAGCGGAGTAAACCTAGCAAAGGGCCACTATGTCAGCAAGGGGAAAGGCAGAGGTGGACTCTATTACAACATGGACATGAGGTAAGGGCCACAGGTTGCAACCCTAACTAGACACAAAGAAAAATAATTTTTACAGTGAGGGTTGTTAAGGCCTGAAGCAGATTGGCTAGGGAGGTGGTAGATTTTGCATACTTGGAGATATTCAAAACCGGACAAGGTGCTGAGCAATCTAATCTAACTTTCAAGTTGGCGATGCTTTGAACATGGTGTTAGACCAGATGAGCTTCAGAGGTCCTGTACAACCAAAATTGTTCTAAGGTTATGTGATTTTTATGTTGTTTACACTGGAAAGGCACCAAATGAGACTTGTCTTATTTTACTTCTTGACAGATGTGACAATTTAATTAGTTGCAGTGGGAACCTCTAATTGTTGTATGAGAAAGCAAGTGTTACTAGCATAATCGTTATAACCGTTACTAATGAAAAAAGTTGCATTCAGGTGATCAGTGAACCATGGATCCTAAGGTAAAGACTAGATCCTATTATGCTTATGTCATTCATCTCTCTGCCTAATATACATCGAGACTTCTTGAATCAACTCTCCATTCAAGTGTAAGAGCTGTCCTTAAACCCGAGTGAATGATTCAGAACAACATCCTATCCTGTAATAACATTTCTGTGAATAAA